ATATATACTTATACACATTCATATTTACTTGATATTTAGTTATTATCTATACTATTGTTATGTACTTATATTTACATATTACATTTAGTTAATATATACTTATATATATATATATTTATATATATATATATATACATTAAAGTATTAAGTATAAGTGTATTACTCATCTTATAGTAATATACATATATATTATATACTATAAACACTATATTATATATTACTTATAATATATTTACACATTATATATACCATATATACTTATACACATTCATACATAGGCCCGGCCCTAAGGGAGTGCAAGTGGTGCAGTGGAACAGAGCCTCCAATAAGGGAGGGCCCCCAAATTTAATTCATAGTTTAGTACCATTAGTTAGAGCAAAAAAAGATTAGAATATTTAATACTCCGTATTTGAGATTTGGCGACAAGCTCGCTTAGGAACTCGGAAAGTCGGAAGAAGGAATCATCCTACAACGATGTGACATTGTGATTCCTCGTAAAACATCCTACAACTTACAAAATTACTTTAAGCTATATTAATTTCTTTGTCAATTCCGCTCTACCGAATCTTTTTATCCAAACAGTTTATGTCAAATAGTTTCTAATGTTTTCTTTTGAAATCTGAATCCAAAGTGGAGCAGAAGGATAAGTTCAACCCTTCAAAGTTGCGCTCTGCAGCGTTCAACACTTCAATATTTTTCCATCTATGTATTTAAGATACTATCATGTTCTTCATCACGTGCATATACCTCTATTTTCTTATCTTTAATCTTCTTGAGTAGCCCGACTCTTTTTCATAAGCACACTGCTAATATGTTTTTGAGAGTTATATTGTTTTATTTGTTAGGGAAATAAAATAATATAGGTCTATGACAAAATGTTTGTACACTTTTCTTAATGATTATTTTAATTTGACTCCCTAAAATTTATGTTTTAGGGCTTCCAATTACATTTTGAACAGGGCCCTCAATATGTTCGGGCCGGCCCTGTTCATACATTTTATAAAACTAGTTAGTTGTTACATTTCTCTACATTTTTCTTTAAAGTAAAAAAAAACACTAGTTAATTGTTACATTTCTCATATTAATATTAGTTAATTTCTCTACATTTATCTTTACACTAAAAAATGTAGTTAATTGTTACATTTCTCATTTTCCTATTAGTTAATAGGTACATTTCTCATTAAAGTAAAAAAAAAAACTAGTTAATTGTTACATTTCTCTACATTTCTCTTTAAAGTAAAAAAAAAAAACTAGTTAATTGTTACATTTCTCATATTAATGTTAGTTAATTTCTCTACATTTATCTTTACACTAAAAAATGTAGTTAATTGTTACATTTCTCATTTTCCTATTAGTTAATAGGTACATTTCTCATTAAAGTAAAAAAAACTAGTTAATTGTTACATTTCTCTACATTTCTCTTTAAAGTAAAAAAAAAACTAGTTAATTGTTACATTTCTCATATTAATATTAGTTAATTTCTCTACATTTATCTTTAAACTTAAAAAAGTAGTTAATTGTTACATTTCTCATATTAATACTAGTTAATTGGCACATTTCTCATTAAAGTAAAAAAACTAGTTAATTGTTACATTTCTCTTTAAAGTAAAAAAAAAAACTAGTTAATTGTTACATTTCTCATTTTCCTATTAGTTAATTGGTACATTTCTCATTAAAGTATTAATTAGAAGTAGTTTAATTTTTTTTTTCAAGGATAAAAATTGTTACATTTGATATACTCATATTTTAGTTCAAATTAGCTATAATTTTATTAGTCACATTTTATTATTACTATTGTATTCATATAAAATATTTGATATAATTTAATATTTGTTCAATTATTATCTCCAACGCAACCGAAAGAGGGAGATTGCGACGACTCATCCTAGTTCACGCAAAGGCAAATGTAAAGCACAGGCCGGGTCTTCTTTTCAAAGTCGAGATGATTATGAAACAGATTACCAATGGAGAGATGATATGGCGATGTCCGATGACCAACTACATAACCTATTGTCCCAAAATGATCCACGCTTTGCACAAGAACAACAATTCCCGACAATCATTGATTAAGATGAACTCGAGGATGAGGATGCGGAGGTGGACGGGGGGGGGGGGGGGGGGGGGGCACCCGGGATGATGAGCAAGAGTTGGAGGACGAGGGTGGTTCATCCCAAATTGGTAAGAAATCTAAATCTCCTATTATTGAAAATAATTTTACAAAAAGGAAAGACAAAAAACCGATAAATGGTATGCAAGTTGCAATCAAAGAGTATAGCTTGGGAACTTCCGGCGGATACGAGAGTTTGACAAGGCATCTTAAGTCCGCGCACTTAGTGGAGTATGCGAAAATAGACAAAGGCAAGGGGAAGTAAACACAAATATCGAGGTTTGCAAATTCTCAACCCTTTGGTAATTTCTCCTATGATGATCAAAAACATTTGACTGGTATGTCTCATTTAATTGTTGAAGAAAATTTACCTTATATTTTTTCACAAAGTCTTGCTTTAAGAGATTATGCTCAAGGTACTTTAAATCCTCAATTTAGAAATTATAGTCGCAAAACGATTAAAAAAGAAGTTATAAGGCAATATAACTTGGAAAAAGAAAAATTACAAACATTTTTCGCAAACTTTGATGGACATGTTAGTATTTATAGTGATATATGGGAGGATACTTATCATCATTTATATTATTTGGATCTTACTGCACATTATATTGATGATGATTGGAATATTCATAAACGTGTTCTTGCTTTTCGTGAATTTAATGATCGACACACTGGTGATAAAAGTTATCTTTTCATTGAGCGTATTTTTTATTGAGTATAATTTGATTGATAAGGTGTTTGATGTAGGTTTTGATAATGCTAGTAATAATACTGCTACTATACCTAAATTGCGTGAATTATGTGGTGCTTCTACATTGAAGGGTAGGTTTTTTCATCAACGTTGTGCATGTCATATTCTAAATTTGTGTGTACAAGATGAGCTAGCGCATTAGGAAATGCTTTGGAGGTAGTGAAGGGGGGAATTAAAGTGATTCAAGCTAATACTCCACTAAAAATGCAACGACAGCAATATTTGAAGGATAGACGTGTCAATTATTGTGTTTTTCCTAAAGATTTGTCTATTCGTTGGAATAGTACTTATAACTTAATTAAAGTAATTATTAGATATAAAGATCATTTTCCCGTGCTTTTTAAGACAATCTTCTAACTATATTATAAACCCGGCTTACATCGACACTTGCAAAAAAATTGTGAATGTTTTGGTATATTTTAATAATGCAACTCAAACTTGTAGTCATGTTTATAAACCTACCACAAACGAATTTTTTGTTGAAGCTGTTAATCTCGTCGGCGCTTTTTGTGAATTTTCCGATGCCGCTTACGTTAGTTATTTTTGTGATTTCATGAAACAAAAGTTTTTAAAATATTATTCACATATTCCGCATATATATGGTATTGCATTTATCCTTGATCCTCGTTATAAACTTGCTTACTTGGAAAATTGTATAGATTACTGTTATGCTTCTTTTTTTTCCAACTCAAGAGTTCGACGATAATCCTGTGAAACAAATTTTAAGTATTTACTTAAAATTGACCGCAAATAATAATATGTGAGAATATCGGGTACAATCGCTAAATATGAATCCTCTGATTCTTCACTTGCAATTTGATATGAATATAATTAAAGAATTTAATTTAAAATTAAATCTCTAATTCTTCAAAAACTCGAACGTTCTTCGATTCTTCGAATCTTCGTTCTTGAGATCTTCGAATCTTCGAACTTCGTTCTTCAGATCTTCAAATTAAATCTTCTTGAATGCAAAATTCAATATAGAAGGGCCTCCGGTTTCAAGTAGCTTGATCTTCAACAAAAGGGCCGTTATGTGGCTTGATCTTCTGTTAAAGGGCTTCCCGGGATATATGGCTTGATCTTCAATTGAATATTGATTCAATCTTCATATGAATATCTTCAAATCTTCAAAGATTCGTTCTTCATATCTTCGAATCTTCAAAGTTTCGTTCTTCAGATCTTCGAATCTTCAAGCTTCGTTCTTCAAATCTTCGAACGTTCTTCAACTTTTGGCTTTGTTTGATCAAGAATCGATGAAATCACAAAGGATTATTCATATATTCTTGACAAAAACGTGGCTTGATCTCTTCCTCTTCTTCGGAATCCTTCAGAGCCTTTCGGGAGTTCTTCAGAGCTTTGCTGCAGCGTTTCTTCGTCTGGAAATTCTCCTCCATTCCTCTCATCTGAGACCCCTATTTATAGGTGTGGAGGGAGTGAAAATGTGGCCTAGGGTTGCAGAAATTCGTCCATATACCTTGGGCCTCAATTAAAATGGGCTTCGGGCTCTATTTTCTTGCATTTTATTAGCTAGAAAAATCAGCACTTATATAATGTATCTGGACAGCTTTCTTAACAAGGTTCAGAGCTATTTCTCATGCATATGAGCATATTTTTAACCAGATTCGTCCTCTTTATCAATCGGATCATGCCTCTTATGTATTGAGCCAATATTTGATGACGGGCTCAAAATAGAGAAATTAAAAGGATCAGACCATTCTTTTAAAGATTTAATTTATAATTAAATTAATTGGACATTTTAAATAATCCAAATTAATTTAATCACTAAATTTCTTCTTCAGCTCACTATCTTCTTCTTTCTTATGAGGCCAAAAGAGCATCGCGAGCGGCCGAACAGAATTGAACATCAGACCAAAATCATTTGAAAATAGCTCAATCATTTATATTCAATCTTAAAGCTCAACTGATTCACATAAATGGCCCAACCATTTTTATGTGTCCACAAATTCCCCCTCGAGAGTTGTTTGGATCTTCCAATTGAGAGAAAAACAAGTCTCGAAATAAGTGGACTCAAGATTTCCTATAGGCCCAAAAAAAATTGTACCAAATAAAGCCCACAAGTAATAATTTTTTTTTTCGGTGCTTATTCAACTTATTAGCCACGTAAGAATCAAATATCCCAATAGGAAGGTTTCTATTCAATCTCAAATTCTCAACTTTAGCATTCTAGTTGGTATCAGGACTTCAATTCTTTACATGTGACTTGAAGTTCATCACGTTCGAGACTTACGTTTCTACTCAAACTCTACTACCAATATCTATAAATATTAACCTTGCTGCTTCCTTTCTGCATCGAAAACCTGGCCGAAGCCTTAGGAAGAGAGATCGGCAAATACACAGGTATACTTTTGTCTTCTTCTCTTTTCTTTTAACAATTTGCAGGGGAAATTCGGCCAAACCAAAATCCATATGCTTTAGTTGGTGATGAAGAACCATATCTGCTCTCAATTGACGTGAGAAGAATTGTGAAATCATAATTGATGATGCTTTAATTTGTTGCTGATTTGTGGCGAGGGAGCTCTGTGGCGATCTGCTCACCGCCGAAGCAGAGAAGAAGATGAAACTTGAATAGTTGCGGATACCTCTTGCCGGACTGCTCGGATTGGAAGCTAGTTGGTGTTGGAAGCTAGTCGGTGTTGGAAAAGATGCTGCCGCCTCTTGCCAGATTGCTCGGGTTGGAAGCCAGTTGGTGTTGGAAGCTAGTTGGTGTTTGGAAGCGAGTTGGTGTCTTCGTTTGAAGGAACCTGCCGCCGTACACGAGAGCTAGTTGGTGTCTGGCAGATTGCTGGTGTCGGATGCCGCGGAAGCTAGTCGGTGTTGACGCTGATAGAACCTGCCGCTGTACACGAAGAGCTAGTTGGTGTTTGGCAGATTGTTGGGGTCGGATGCCGCGGAAGCTAGTTGGTGTTGACGCCAAGAATTTGGATCCAGATGCTGATTTTTGTTGCTGCCGCCGAGATGATGGCGCATGTGCTGTTGCCGTCAGAAATCGATGCCGGAGCTTGGTGTATGACTTATGCAGTTCGTCGGAGAGCTATCGTCGCTGCTGATTCGTTACTGGGACTTGAAGTTGGTTGCTAGTCGGAGAAGAAGCCGTCATCAATATTGTCAAAGGCCGAAGTCGAGACGGGGAAGACGATTGGCCGAATTAGACATTGATTTTTGTTCAATAGAAAAGCCTTTCTTTGTCGCTGCTGCTAGTCTTCTTTCGAAGTTTAATTTACCGGGTTGCGGGTTCCTTACAAAAAGAAACTGTGTGTTAAGTTATTGGCAGCAGCAATACTTTTTGGACCTTATCATATATCTCGAACGTTCCCATTCCTGGCCTCATTAATTGAGATTGTTTTAAGATATTTAAGCTCTTCCAAATTCTCGGCACTAACGAATAATTCATGTCTCCTTTTTGACAATTTTATCATTATAATTATTATCATTATATATGATAATAATAAAAATGATAATAATGACCTTTTTTTTTGCTTGTTGTAGTGCAAAATGGTGTATGTTAAAGATGTCAGGCATGGCACCAAAAAAATATCTCTCCATATCAACGAACAAGAAGAATGATGATGAGATCTTTTAAGCCCTTTGCTCGTGGTTTCTGGCCGGAGAAGGAATCTGCTTTGCCCCTGGGATCTCTCGTTGTTCGTCGGAGAGAGAAGATTCCCGGAGAAAAGGAGATCGAGGGGTCCTCATCTCTGCAAGGGATCTATGACCTGGCTTGATTTTAAGAATTATTGGGCCTTTAATCATACCCGGTTCAGAATTTAAGCCTTCCCATTTTTTAAAAGGCTTGATCTATATTCCTCAACTGGAGCTATTTAATAACAAGGAGACCCGATTTCCTCCCATCTCAAGTGATTTAATCATTGCACCACTTATGGAAGAGGACGATGTTTGACTGATTTTCGACCATCGGTGCCGCTTAGCCCTTTGTTGGGATGACATTGATTTAAAGAATTAGGCTGATTCTCGATTGTTGGTGTTGCTTAGCCCTTTGTTGGGATGACACCGATTTAAGGAATTAGGTCGGTTGCCAATTGTCGGTGCTGCTTAGCCCTTTGTTGGGATGACACCGATTTGAAGAATTAGACCGATTCCCGATCGTCGCTGCTGCTTAGCCCTTTGTTGGGATATTGGCACTGATCAAGACTCCAAAGACGCCATTGATGTTGTCGTTCAAGAAACCATTGCTTTTGATGTCGGCGTCACTTGCTCCGTTGTTGGGATGGTGGCGTCGTTCAAAGTTCAAGAGACACTACTGTTGCCACTGTTGTCGGCGCCACCTGCTCCGTTATTGGGATGGTGGCATCATTGTGGAGACGTCGTTTGAAGCTCAACTCAATCAACTTCCGATGAGGAGGAGATCAAAGAATTCCCAAGCCTTTGCCATTCATCTGACTTTTTGGTTTCATAAGCCCTCTTCTGATATTTTCTTTGACAAAGTGACTTAATTGGGATTTATTTTGTTATAACTGAACTCAAAAATGAAACTTTTGAGCTGCCTACGTACTCCTGTGAAGGAGATCAAGTCAAACGTAGTTCATAGTACCATTTGAATAGGTAATTTAAAGGGGGTGGGGTGTCGTACATAGTTTTAACTCATGTGGGCCAGGAGCTTGCCGTACACATTTTAAACTCTCGTGGGCCAAGAGTATCTATGATTATGCTCACCCATAGACAAAGTGAGATGTTTTAGCAGTTTAGCCACTTACAACATCATTGGTGGTTTAAGGCTTTCAACATTTTATTTGACATATCTATACCCCGACATCAAGGGTACTGGATTGTTAGAGTATGAGCTCACATATTGGTCTTCATATTGATCACGGGTATGCACAATGGTCACTGGCTTGACTTTGAGTGCACTTCCATAGGTTACTTTAACACTGGTTTCTCGTTTCATACGAGATGGGATAAAACTTCTATACTCATTAAGACTTTGCTTTTCGAGAGGAACTTTAGTAGATGTATTGTGTTCATGTTTCAATCCCAATCGTTCATGAACAGACGTTCTTTTGAAGTTTTGTCCTGTGCATGTGTCTTCAACGTGTTTCATCATCATTGAGCTCATTCCAAGCCGTTCTTGTAAAGTCATCTTCATAACTTTCTTTGGCTTTGGACCCAATCTATCAAAGATGGCGGGCCTTGATCTTACCCCCTCAATCCGATCAAAGACTGAATATTTCAGTTTAGAAGTTACTTCATCTTCTTCATCAGCACTAACATGATGCGTTGCAGCTCTATTTATGAGGATCCTTATGGGTTTTGGCTGAACATAACCCAATCCTGTGTGCCCTTGAAGATTGATCTGCTTCGGTTTCCCTTCACCACCAGCTTTCGGAATGAGTTTTCCCAAAACCGGTTCGTTGGGATTATACCCCGCCTTGGCTAGAAGTTTGTATGCGTTTGGATTAAATCCTTCATTTGTGCGTGCTTTAGGGAGCTGAAATGCCTTAACATCATTCCCACTTTTTACTTCCTCCTCAGATGTGTTTTGAGGAGGCTTTGATATTTCAATCTTTGCAAGAGGGAATGTAAGCCCTTCTACGCCTTCAACAAGCTTTCCTTTCAGCTTTGCTCCAATCAAGGGGCGATATTCTTCCTCTTGTCTAGCATTGTCATCTTTAGAAATTTTGGCCTTTAGGTAAAATTTCGCATCTGCAAAGTATGTCTCGGCTTTTGTGAATGGAGTTTCATCGGCCACTACCTTCTTTACAACGCCATTTTGCTCATACATGAAACATTGGTGCCATGTTGAAGGGATTACACCGTTCTCATGGATCCATGGGCGTCCTAGAAGAAGATTGTATGAAGCCTTTGCATCAATCACATGGCATAGAGTGTTTGCCTTCAGTCCGCCGACGATCAAATCAAGACGTATCATTCCAATCGCCCTTTGCCCCCCTTGATTGAAGCCTTGAATCATCAATCGGCTTTGGGAGAGTTCATCCATTGATATATCAAGGTCTTTCATAGCTCGAACCGTCAGAATGTTAACGGCAGACCCTTGATCAATCATAATTCTTTTGAATCTTTGTCCACGAGTGTATCCTTCAACAAAAAGCGGGCGGTTATGGGGAGTAGCACCCAACATGAGATCTTCGTCTTTAAAGACAATGTCAGTGACGTATGAAGTGGATTTTTGTGCTTCGGCCACTTCTTTCTTAGTCGAAACTAGAGATGGACATCCACTTGAACTCTCAACTTCTTCTTCATGGGTGCTAAGACAAGAACTTGAAATTTGAGTCATCTCGTTCTTGAAATCCTTTGGCATAAAATCGTTGAGAGTAATCACCCTTCGTGCATTCTTGGAACGAACACGATCCTTCTTTTGTTTCTTTTGCTTTAACTCGTTTATCGGTTGTTTCCTGACCCAATTCTTTACCACTTTCCTCGGTTGTGGCTTAGGTGTGTGGTTCTTCTTTTGTTTCTTTAGAGTTACCAAGGTCCATGATCTTCCTTGGTCATCAACATCCTTAAGTCTTTTGGTGAGAGGAAAACATTCTTTCATTTCCTTGACAGTAAAAGGGAGCTTATGCTTGTGAGAACTTAGGTCATTGTTGACCATGAGCGGATCAAACTTACCAAATGTAATGTTGATTTGGTTTGTGCTTGCGGCAGAATCAGCTAGTTCAATCTTTCCTTCGCGGGCTAAGGCCATAATTTTATCTTTAAGCACCCAACACTTCTCAGTGGGGTGACTTAAAATTCGATGATACTTGCAGTAGTTGTGCTCATCAACCTTTGTAGCTTCCTCAGGTCGTTTGGACTCGGGCAAATCTATGAGCTTCAATCTCATCAGTTCCTCAAACATGGGAGGAACGTCAGAGTCTAAGAAGGGGTACTTCTTTTCCAACATCTCTTCTAAAAATGGTTTAACACGTTTTGACGTTTCCAAGTCAACCCTAGGGACTTGTTTTGAATTTTGAGTGAAGATCTTAACAGGTGCAACCTTCGCGACCATTGCTTCTTTCTTTTCAAACTTGGAAAAGGGCCTACCCCCATTCTTAGTATCTTGCTTTTCAACAACATCATTGATGGGATGTATACCCACGGTTTTCCTTCTACTGCTCATAATGCTCAACTCCATGTTACGAGCTTTGCTGGCTAGCTCATCAAAAGTGTTTGGATTGACTCCTTTGAGAATGTAGCACAATTCCCAATGCATTCCTTCAATGCACATATCGATAGCGGAACTTGTAGATATTCGTTCTTTGCAGTTTAGAGCAAGATCCCTCCAACGCTCTATGTAAGCTATCACAGATTCATCTTTCCATTGACGAGTAGTTGTTAGTTCGAGTAAACTGACCACCCTCCTTGTGCTATAGAAACGGTTTAAGAACTCATGTTCCATATCTTGCCAGCTATCAATGGAACCGGGCTCCAGATCAGTATACCAGTCAAATGCATTTGCTTTAAGGGAGCGCACAAACTGCTTGACAAGGTGATCTCCGTTTGTTCCCGCGTTATTGCAAGTTTCCACGAAATGGGCAACATGTTGTCTTGGATTTCCCTTCCCATCAAACTGGATGAACTTCGGCGGCTGGTAACCAATGGGCATCTTTAGATCCTCGATCCTTTGAGTGTATGGCTTAACATAGGAGTAAGTAGATTTGTTTCCTTCTATCTTCCCCTTTATGGTTCCCATAATGAAGTCTTTAAGTTGATCAATCGGGATCATGCCCCCGGAGGTTGAGATATCCTTGCCCGAATCCTCTTGATGAGGATCATTCTCTTCATTTACTTCGGGGTCCTTCTCATGATTATGACTTGACTCGCCTTTCAAACTCTCTACTTTGTTGTTTAGCTCATTCAACTTTTGGTCTTGATTCTGCATAAACGTACTCATCCCTTCGATGACCCTAGTTAGATGAGCGATTTGTTCTTCCATCGTCATGGCGCTCGTGGTCATAGTGGGCATCACAGTGTAGACATTCGACCACTGCGGAGTAGTTCTTCGTAGAGGACTTGATGGGGGAGTAGAGTCTGATCCAGATGATGAGCTTTCACCTCCACTTGTCCACTTCGGGGAAGTAACTTCACGTATGGGTGAAGAAAGCTTCCAGGCCATTTCTTGCGCAATTTGAGATCCATCCATTGCACCGGGAGTAGTTCCCGAAGATGACTGCGCAGCCAGGATTCTTGATCGGCTCCTAGTGATAGGGCCTTGCATGTTTTGATTTGAGTTTGACGATGCTCGAGAATTCAAAGTGAACACGGGCTTGCTTGACGCCATTGTTTCGTTTTCCTTGATTAAAAGTGAAGAGATGAGAGGTAGAGTTGTCCCACCGGGCGTGCCAAAAATTTGTGAAACAAATTTTAAGTATTTACTTAAAATTGACCGCAAATAATAATATGTGAGAATATCGGGT